ATATGTAAATGAATACATATATTCCTCGATAGCCAAACAGAGAATATAAATCCACTTTTTGTGCATCGCATGTCTTAGCAAGCTGCTTGTAAAAGTAGGAGAGACATAATCACCGTGCTGCACATAGCCTATGCAGAAACAACCGTGGGAGGGACCCAACAGGCCACACCCACTACAGATTGCCTGCAGAAAACTACACAAGGGGGTGTATGCAAGACCAATTACCCTACACAAGGAGGGAGGACAGCAGTGACTGGTTTTTATTACATGAAGCTCCGAGTTTCCATAGTTACCCTTTGGGCTGTCCATACAGTACAATTCCCATTCAAAAATGTTTGCTTTCTAATGATTAAAGGGGGGCAAATCAGCATTCGTGTTGACCAGGAAGATCAAAGGGGCAGAATCGTTTCTTATCTGAATGGACTAACTTCTAATTGTGAATGTGATTTTCGTTCGGGTAATGTTGCATGTGCTCTGCACAAAAGAAACCTGTTTAAAGGAGAACTCCAAGTTCGAGCCGACGTGACAATGAAACTGTCACAGGTCGGCTCAATAGATCGGGAAGTGAGCGAACGTATACCGTCGCCCGCTCACTTCTCGATCATATCCCTGCAGAGAGTCGTGACTGTCACTCATGGCTCCCTGCAGGGATTCCCCCCCTCCCTTCTCCGATCCTCCAGCGCTGCCTGGGGGAGGGGGCGGGCACAGCTGGCTCTGCCTCTAGATATGCAGAGCCAGCTGTCAGTCACACAGCTGGGTGGAATGTCGGGATCAGTTCCGGCTGCGGCGTCTCAGTATACCGCGAGCTGTAGCTCCCTATATACTGAGCTTAGGGTGACAGGAGGACGCTAGTTTGTGTCCTCCCGTTACCCTTAGGAGAACTATGGGGAAAAACACTTACCCCATAGTTCTGCTTTTTAATACGTCTGAGATTCCATTCAAGTAGCCGATTGTTGGAGGAAATTTTTAGGGCTTTACAATTCAATGACAAGATCGCCTGTAATGACTATGTAAGGAAAATCCACATTTGTGAGCTGTCAGCAGAACATCAATCGCGGGGAAATCTTCCGATGGGGACACTTGTGCTGGTGAAAAATGTCCCAAGACGGAATTCCCCTCACGTTCTGTTTATACTGGAAAGAAAGTCAAGGGAAATCTTCCCGTAGTGAGGCAGATTGCAAACATTGAACCGTTTCCTGAGGTGTTCAAAATGAAAATAAAAGTTGTAGCTATAGACATATATTTGAAGCCATTGTTTGATGTAGCTGTCACATCGGTCAATTTAAGGAGGTATTATGATTTGGAAAGGTGTTTAAGGTGGATAAGCCCATTGTGCAGGTTCTGTGTATACCCGTTGAACCAGTTTATGAGACATTTGTGTTTACCGGGCTGCGTTTTATAGTAGACATCTGTGGCCTCACACTTTCTGTTTGTTTTTCTGCTCACCATAGCAGTCCGCACCCACTGCTGAATCGGTGATTTTCAAAGAAGTTAGGTCTACTCTCATTTCCTCATTTTAAACTTCAATTTCTCACAGATCACGCTGCTGCTTCATGTAAGCAAATTGGTCACAATGAGCGCCAGCCAGGATGTGGTCTAGAACATGAAGATTTGTGGTTATGTTCATTCGTTTCCCTCCCATTACTGTAATTCTCTGCCGTTTCTGTGCCACATCTGGTCTTTTTTGACATAACTGATGGGTTTGACTTTTTGAAACATATAACGGAACCTTTTGGAAAAGCAACTGGCTTGCAATTGCTGTCCCAATTCATCCCAGAGGTGTTCAGTAGGGTTGAGACCACGGTCTATTAAGTTTTATGTGGAGACCAGTTGAGTTCCTCCACATCAGACTCATGAGACCATGTCTTTATGGAGCTGGTTTTGCGCACAGGGAACAAAACAGAACTTTCCCTAAACTTTAGCTCTAAGGTTAAAAGCGCACAATTGTCTAAACTGTTTCTGTTTGCCGTAGCTTTAACTGCACACCAATAGAAACACCTGTGGTCAATAATTTGAGGGGTGTCCACATTTTAGCCATGTAGTGTTTCTGGGGTGCTTCTGAATTTCCCCCGTGTCAAAACTTCCTGCTGCCTAAACAGCAGCTTAAAACAAGTGCTTATTACTTTTAGGTGAATGAATCTCTGTATCAGACCCTCCAGTATTGTCATAGGTCACTTTGCTGCTGATTTTATGAGGACTCCTTGCTTGACACTCCGGGCACATCAGCTTTTTTAAGAGCACTGCAAAGCTGCTTCAATGTAACCATGGCTTAGACAGCTAGATGACTTTTTATTGGCACAAGGAAGCCCAGAAATCAATTGTCTGGGGTATACTGAGACGCCGCACCTGGAGCGGATCCCGACTTAGATGACGGGATCCGCCCAGCTGCGTGAGTGACAGCTGGCTCGGCCTATCTAGAGGCAGAGCCAGCTGTACCCGCCCCCTCCCCCGTCCGTTCCGCCAGTCAGCGCTTGCAGATCGGAGCGGGGAGAGTGGAATCCAGCCCCTCCCCCTGTCACGGCAGAGAGCCGTGACAGGATCGAGAGGTGAGGGAACCCGGTATGTTTTCCCTCACCTCCCGATCTACTGAGCCGACCTGTGACAGTCTCATTGTCACAGGTCGGCTTAGAACTATGACGTGAGTGGAAATCACTAATGTGTATTTGCTAAACATGCCAGCACAGCCTTAAGGTGCCCATACACTCTTCGATTTCCGCAAGGAAATCTTCCACGAATGGTCTTGCGAACGATAACAGTCGAACAGTGATAAGGGAGCATGGAGTCGGCTTGACGTGTAATGACGCGCTGCCTGGCTTCCCGATACCGGAAGTATCAGTCTAGGCATCGGAGCATTTGGGTGAGTAAAAGTACTCGCCCAAATACTCGGCATCGGCACCGATACTAGTGCATCCCTGGTTTTTATTGCTTTTATGTATGCCCGTTCACTCTTTCTTTTTGCCCTGACCAATATTGAAAGTGAGGGAAGATCCAAACTTTTGAGTCACCACAACACTAATAGAGCTGAAATCTTGAAATGGACACTTGATACAGCGACGGCTGTCTAAGAGGATAGTTCTCTTTGGAATGATATCCTCCTGTTTCCTGTTGAATCTACAGGACCGGAAGAATATCTCCACAATGTGACACATATGACAGTGGGTTTAACCACCTTCTACTCTATCCAAAAGAAATGGTTTTGTTATAGACTTGCATTAAAGTACACGAAGTCATTCTACGTGTAAGATACAGACTTGCTGTTACAGTCCTATGAGACCAGTCGTTTACACCCAGTGAGTGTTTAGCGGTCACCGAGCACCCAGCTGAGGGTTTCAGCTTCTCTGTGTGTACACTTCCTGGTAGAGTGCGATGTCATTAGCTTCTCACATTCCAGGAAAGGCAATCTAATTTATAACCGCTGTGGAACGTGTCAGGTGAAAGTAGAAAGGGATTTCTCCATAGTGTACAGTCATTCTCCGGGAATTCATCTAGTCACTCATTCACACTACTTTGTGTGAGTCAGACCTATGTTGTCATCCCTGGTTTCTGCAAATAACAAAAGGCCCGGGCCAGATAAAAGAGATGACGTTTGCATTTGTTTACAGCGTATCAGATTGTGTTGTAATGGAGCACGGTGACCTTTGTTGAATAAGGTAAAGAACATCGTCTATGCAGTGATGCTTGCGTGAGTCGTAGGCCGCATGCAGTCCAGTATAGCCTTCAATGAGCTGTCGAAAAAATATGTTAGCCACTTGCTGACCAGGTGTTAAACCCCCTTCCTGTCCAGGCCTCACAAACACTTTTTTTTTGGTATGATGAACACAAATTCCCACACACATTCTAAAACTTAGTGGAAGACCTTCCCAGACCAACCAACTTTGTGTTAATGTCCATATACTTGCAATGGGATGTCCAACATGCTTTTACAGGTGTCTTTGGCACGTGTCTGCAGACGCTCTAGTCCCCGTAACAGTCCATATTCATATCCATATTGTGCTCTTTGTATATATCAGGAGGTCTTCTATTAACAACTGCAATTCACAGTTTTGAGTAAATCATAGTTTTCCAGTGATCTTGTAAAACCGAATCAATAATCTTGATTGGGTTGGGGTAGATGTTCACTGCAAAGGTAGCCATAGATGTCAGTTGTACGAGCAGGCATGATCCAATTGCAGATCAAATGTTGCTTTTTAAAACACCGGCAAACATGGATGTTTGGGTTACCTGTTTTGATGGGCGCTTCATTGCATGCCAGATGCAGGAAACCATTGCCCATCTATACAATTCCTTACAAATCCTTTTGGCAAATCCTCCTGCTTTCCCAGAGTTTGACTTTAAAGGAGAACTATGAGGAGTGCTTTTCACTCACCTCATAGTTCTAGCCGACCTGGTGACAATGAGACTGTCACAGGTCGGCTCAGTAGATCGGGAGGTGAGCGAACACATACCGGCGTTCGCTCACCTCTCGATCTATCCGTGCAGAGAGCCGTGACTGTCACGGCTCCCTGCAGGGATTCCCCCCTCCCCGCTCCAATCCGCCAGGGCTGACTGGCGGAACGGACGGGGGAGGGGGCGGGTACAGCTGGCTCTGCCTCTAGATAGGCAGAGCCAGCTGTTAGTCACGCAGCTGGGCGGATCCCGGCACAATTGTCGGGATCCGCTTCAGCTGCGGCGTCTCAGTATAACGCGAGCTACAATTTGCGGTATACTGAGCCTAGGGTGACGGGAGGACGCTAGTTTGTGTCCTCCCGTTACCCTAAGGAGAACTATGGGGAAAAGACTTAACCCCATAGTTCTCCTTTTTAAGGCTGCATGAAGCATTGTGAGTCTTTATTGAATTTCTCCGAACATGCAGTCCTCTGTGTGCATGTGAGGTCTTTCAAATTGAACAAGTTGCCCCCATGCTGGTTGTCCCCCTGATATCCCTACCAAGTAATCATCTTTCATTAATGTGACTGCTCAGTATGGGTGGAAGTTTAACGATAATGTGTCTCTTCTTTCAGATTCTGCTCTGTCATCTTGAATTGATGGGAGCTGAGCCTGTGCCGGTAACTGACAAGAAGACAATATTTCAGCCGTCTGGGAAATATAACAACACTGAACTTGGGCGTAAAAAAATCCCACCCTGTGACAAATGCCCAGCTGGCACCTATATGTCCAAGCACTGTACTGAGTCTGACCTCCGGGAGTGTAGCCCGTGCCCCAGTGGCACCTTCACTAAGCACGAGAATGGGAATGAAAGGTGTCATCCTTGCAGTCCGCCATGCGAGCAGACTATGGTCACAAAAACAGTTTGTTCTGCCTTGTCTGATCGCGAGTGCTCATGCCCACCTGGCACATATCTCATCAATGGCACTTGTGCCAACCACACGGTGTGCCCGGTAGGATGGGGTGTGAAGAAGAGAGGGAGCGAAACTGAAAACGTCAGGTGCAGGATGTGCTCCCATGGTACCTATTCTGATGTGCCTTCCAGTACAATGAGATGTAAGACCCATACCAACTGCTCCGAGCTTGGCCTGGTGATCACCAAGCTTGGTACGAAAGAACAAGACAATGTATGTGAACCGCTTTCTTCATCTCCTTCTACAGACCTCTACTCTCCGCCCACTGATTATGGTGAGATATACGGCTGTACTTTATTTTATAGTGTTATTCTATCTTTTGATTGAAAACATACTTAGAATCAAAGTTTGCATTTGGTTTACTGGAGTGTTTTTGTGCTGTTTTTAAGTTTAAAAAAATGCCACTATCTGAATTGCAGCCGTAAAATCCACTCTTACAAATGCCTGGCAGATGAGTTATCAGTTAGGGAAACACCCGTATTTGCTATACTGATTGACAAGGTTTGCACTGCTGTCCTTGGTGAAGAACTTTCCTTGTGACATTTAGCACAAAACAGCAAATTAGCTTTAAAGGAGAACTATGGGGTTAAGGCTTTTCCCCATAGTTCTCCTTAGGGTAACTGGAGGACACAAACTAGCGTCCTCCCGTCACCCTAGGCTCAGTATACCGCGAGCTGTAGGCCGCGGTATACTGAGACGCCGCAGTATACCGCGAGCTGCTGCTCGCAGTATACTGAGACGCTGAAGCGGATCCCGACAATTGTGCCGGGATCCGCCCAGCTGCGTGAGTGACAGCTGGCTCTGCCTATCTAGAGGCAGAGCCAGCTGTACCCATCACTTCCCCCATCCGATCCACCAGTCAGCGCTGGCGGATCGGAGCGGGGAGGGGGGAATCCAGCCCCTCCCCTGTCACGGCAGAGAGCCGTGACAGGATCGAGAGGTGAGCGAACGCCGGTATGTGTCCGCTCACCTCCCGATCTACTGAGCCGACCTGTGACAGTCTCATTGTCACAGGTCGGCTAGAACTATGAGGTGAGTGAATAGCACTCACCTCATAGTTCTCCTTTTAATTAGCATGTCTCCCCCCTCCCCTGCACACACCCATCCACACAAGCATATACTTATATCTTCTTGATTTATTTCCCTGCTGCTCCATTTAGTGCCAGGAGCCAAAGGAAACACCCAGTACTTCTAGGTATGAAGAACCATGTGACTTACTTCATGTGATAGCCCTGGGCAAATTAGCTGTTGCAGTCTACACGGGGGCTTTGAATAGCAACACCAAGGACTTGTAGCTTACACAGAGCTTTTCTTTTACTTCTGATGACTGAATGCAGAAGTGGGGGAGTGAAAGGAACAGAAGTTTCTGGACACCTGATAATCACACCTGTATGAGCTTGTTGGACGTCCCATTTTAAAACCATGGCTATTACTATACAGTTGTACCCTCTTTTGCTGGTATAACAGCCTCCACTCTTCTGTAAAGACGTTCCACAAGCTTTCAGAGTGTGTCTGGGAATTTATGCTCATTCGCCTAGAACAGGGCCGGGGAACCTCCGGCCCTCCATTTGTGGCGAAACTACAAATCCCATGAGGCATTGCAAGATTCTCACAGGCATGACTTCCAGAGACAGATGCATCATTGAATTTCTAGTTTCACCACAGGTGGAGGACAGGAGCTTCCCCACCCCTGACCTAGAAGAACATTTGTAAGGTCAGGTACTGATGTTGGGGAAGGTAGACTTTGGTTCACCATTGGCGTCCCATTTTATATCAAAGGTGATCAGTAGGGCTGAGGTCAGGGCTCTCTGCAGGATACTTGAGTTCTTCCACACCACACTCTTACAACTATGCCTTTATGCAGATGGCTTTATGCACAGGGGTACAGCCATGCTGAAACCGAAAAGAGTCTTCCCCAAACTGTTACCACAAGGTTTGAAGCATGCAGTTGTCTAAAATGCCTTTGCATGCCTCATTATTAACAATACACTTCACTGGAAATGATAGTGCCCTTATACTCTTGGCCATGTGTGTGCGTCTTATGGAGCGAATCCCTATCACCCGACGCCCGGGACATGCAGTTTTGGGCGCCGGGCGAGTCGTTTTTTGTACATTTAGCCCTGCTAAAGCAGATCTAAAGTTAGAATTTTGTCAGGTGGGACACCAGTGAACAACACCATATCATGTATACAGTATAGCGTGCATGTCTATGTAAGGAATTATTTAACTTGTTTGTCATCATTGCCGTCACAACTAGAATGTTCTAAAGCTGCAGATACTTCAGAGCCAACTCTTTACCTTTCTCATCCTTCTCTTCTTGGTATATAAACATATAGCTGACTATCCATCAACGGGCCATTTAGATCAGTTTCCAACCCCCAAGCCATCCTCCCTCCCCTGGATCATTGCTGATTTCCTGTGCTACCTTTCCCATTACCTCCTTTCACAATTGAGTATATGTGAGCATTGCAGGAATGTTCCATTTGAACCCATGGCTGATTTCATGCCGCTGGTCAGTGTTTGTAGAACCTGCAATTACTGTAATATCTCTGTTATACGATCGTGCAGATAAGAAGCTACACTAATGACTGGTTAGTAATGTTTGCCGGTAGCTGTTATTGAAACCCATGAGAACTGCAAACAGGAAGCTTGATCTGATAAGGGATAATACATAATGGTGCAACAGTTTCTATTTAAATTTAATGAATGACCATTAGCCAAACATATGCTATGGGAGCAAATAATAACCGTAATCTCGGTAGCTGACACAGTGCGGCCATTCTATGCTGCAGTTCATCATTTAGAGACATTCAGTTATACGATATTATAACATTGTTCTTACAATCAACAATGACCCCATTGACATTTCTTGCCTCTTTTTGGTTGGAAGGTAGGTGTGCAAACTAAGAGGATAAAGTGTGGTAGTTTCTCAAAGTTCTTGATCCATGGCTGTTCATATTACGTGGTGCCCTCCCCCCCCCCCCCCCCCCCGGGACCCCAAAAAGTTATTTTTGGGCGGAGC